GTGCAGTGCTGTAAAAAGATGGGATTCTCATAAGAGAATGGCATTTTTATTCAAATGGATGTGGGCTTGAAAAACAGCAAGATCCTCTGATGTTCTACACATTTGAAAGCAGTAATTTTTTTTTTTTGCTGTGTGCCATAATTAAAGAAGAAAGCAGCAGGACAATTCCCTCGTCCATTCCCTCCTCCTTTTCCCTCTCTCTTATAGAAATGATATCTGGTAGAGCAGCCAAGATATTTTTCAGTCTGGTGCTCATGGGTCTTTTCATTACTTTTCTGTTCTCACACTGCTTGCCCAGTACAGCAGCTGTTAAATAGACAACTCTGAGAACTGGGGAAGGATATTGGTGAAATATTTGATTAACACTATTTTTGCAGGAAATTGATATGTCAACTATTTTTATCCTCAGGCAAAGGAATAATCAAACCCAATCCATGTGGCAACCTTCTCCAATTTCAGATGACTTTATAACCTCTGATATTTCACTCATTTTTACTTTTATATTGCAGTCTGTCACAGCCTCCCACCCTTGGTGATTTCATGCAGTTTTTTTAACTGTGTGATTGTCCCATTAGGAAATACATTCAGCAAACTTTCCTGTTGGAAAGTGTTGTGCTCATTGCTTCAGAAAGTGTGTGCTGGCACAGCTCTGTTCACAACAATGAAACATCTGAAAGTCTGGCTTTTATCCACAACACACTCTAATTCCCTATTCATAACCGAAATTCCTTTTTGTGCAATTTGCCGTTTTTTTTTCATTACATACGCTAGTTACATCTTAGGGTGAATCAGTCAAATGGACTCTAAATTAAAATAGTTGGCTGATCTGAGCCCCAGATCTGTTGCAATGCAGATTTCACAGAGCTTGGAAGAAAACAGCCAATACAGCCACCATAGACAGGGGTGATTATTCTTTCTGTCTGTCTTTTTCCAGGTAACTGAGCAGATGAATGTGCCCTCAAGCTTTAATCTTCTGGCTAATTAGGAGAAATAGGTGGAAAGGAAAGTCAGTAAACCGTGTGAGCCTGAATAGGTCACGCTAACAGTCAGGATGTCACTGTGAGGACAGGAAATCCTTACATTAGATGCATCATTTTAGTCTCTAATTTAATCCATAGAACAGAATCAAAATTTGTTTTGAGCCGTACGCACATAAGTGAGGAAACAGAGACAAACTGGACTTAGTGGGGTAAATTGTCAGCTGTTTGGATGAGAGGAAGCCCAGCGAGAGGAAGCCCAGCTCGCTGGGCTGGGAGCTGCTGAGTTCAGGTCAGTGCAGCCCTGCCCCAAAGGTTCCTCCTTCACCCTGGAGAGGGAAGGCGCTCGCCCTCCGCTCCTGGTGGCACCTCTGTGTGCCCCAGTGTTTGCTTCTGAACCCAGGGAGGAGAGGAGGGACCAGCGAATCCCACAAAGGTTCACCCCACCCTCTGGGGCTGCTCCTCCTTGGCAAGCCTTCCCCAGCAGCTGCTGCCTGTGTCCCTCTGCAGTCGCGTTCTGACACTTCCTGCAGCGGCTTTTCCTGAAGGTTCCCTCTCAGCCCCCTTCCCTGGCCTCCTCTTCCTCCCAGCAGGGCCTGTGCCTGGCTCCCACCAGGGCTGGGGTCCCCCCACATCCCTGTGAGCAGCCCTGGGCTCTGCTGGGCTCACTGGGGCAGGGGCTGCTGGACAGCCCTGGGGTCAGACAGACAGACTGACTGACTGACTGACTGACTGACAATGCAGAGTTACTCAGGCTGGAAAGGACTCTCAGACCCTCGGGTGTCAGCACAGACAGACAGACATGCGCAGAATTATTCAGGCTGGAAAAGACCCTCAGACCCTCAGGTGTGCACACAGACAGACACACAGACAGACACAAACAGAATTACTCAGGCTGGAAAAGACCCTCAGACCCTCAGGTGTGCACACAGACAGACACACAAGCACAGAATTACTCAGGCTGGAAAAGACCCTCCTAAGCTGGGTCCCAGCAGCCCCTCCTCAGGGCACAGGCTGAGCAGACAGGCACTGACTCTGCCCTGCTTTGGTGCCTCCTTCAGTGTAATTTTTCCTCTCTCAGTGCAATTCTTTTTGCATGAGAGGCTGCGTGTGGCCCCCTCCGTGCAGAAGGAGTGATTTGAATGATTTGGATTACAGAGAGCACGTGCACAGATCCTGGATTACTCAGTGTGCTGCTGCTTTCCCTCCCCTGAAAGCTTCATAAACTGTCCTTTCACAGGCTTTTAATAAACACTCAAGTGACTTAATCTTTTAGTGTAAAGGCCTACTTGTATTTTAAGCTTCCTGTTATCAATGTCATTAAATCAATATCCTCAGTTCCACAGGATCCAAGCCACATACAAGCTGTCACACACAGTTTAACTTTAAAAGGGCAATATTGAGGTACAGTCAGTTCCTTTTTCATAGATTAGAGAGTACTTTGAAGTAGAGCTGTTGAAGATCAGAGGGAGTTTATTCCTCTGCAGCCAGTTTCTTACGTGTTGGGGGCTCTCCATCCCAATGACAGTTCTGCTGCAGAACTTCAGTGAAGCCTCAGAAGATGTTTCATGCAGTTATCATAAATGACACGAAAGCCTTGTGGGGATTATATAATGGGTGATAAAGCACAGGACAGATTCTTTAAGAGAAATAAGAAGGCAAATTAGGATAGACTTTTCTTTGCCATTCTTTAATCTGTTTATCTATTTCTCATTATTATTATTTACTTATTCTTTGTCCATCTGAGTGCACACACAGCTCAGGACAGGTCAGAGCCTCACTTGGTGTGGTTCATTGTCTAATGAGTGACATCTGTGTTTAGAGTTGAGATGGAGCAAAACAAGGACTTGTTTCTTGCCAGAGAGATGTAATTGAGGGTAAAGCATACATCTGGGATTTATTTGTGTAAAACATGCACGACTGCAGTACCATGTCTCCTTCCAACCTGACCCTGAGGTGCCCCTTCCATTTAGAGTATTAGAATCCAGATTTATCCAGAGAAATCTTACAAATCAGAAATGGCAGTTATTGCTCCATCTTTGCTGTCATTACAGCAGATCTTTCTCTCTCTCCCTTTCTGTGGTTTTTTAGCCGCTGTCTGTAGCAGAAGTGAAATAATTTGTAATTGAAGGCAGCTGTAGGTTCTCTCAGTTGTTCACTTCAGGAGAGATGGTGGAGTCACATCACTGAGCACAGCTGGTGCTCAGGGACAGTGCTGGGGTGACAGTGCTGGGGTGACAGTGACAATCCTGGCTGACAGTGACAGCGCTGGGGTGACAGTGACAGTGCTGGGGTGACAGTGCTGCGGTGACAGTGAGAGCCCTGGGTGACAGTGACAGTGCTGGGGTGACAGTCCTGTACAGTGTAGGTGGCCTTTGAGTCCCAGTAAAATATCAGTATTGTACTTGGATATCTGTATACAGGCCTTGCCCCGGTAAGTCCCGGTTGTTCTTGATGGGCTGCAGCTGCCATGTCCTTCATTGGGCTGCAGCTGTGGCTAGTGAAGATAACTGGGATAAAAGGGGTGGGTTGGCTAGTCAGGGAGAGTCTGGAAGGAGCAATGTGTAGAAGAAGGAGGAGTCTGTGCTGTGAAGCTCTGCAGCCGTAAGAAAACACTGAGGAGGTATGGGACTCTAGAAATGTGATAACAGTCCTCGTGTGACAGTGGCAGTGCTGGAGGAACAGTCCTGATGTGACAGTGGCAGTGCTGGGGTGACAGTCCTGAGGTGACAGTGGCAGCCCTCTCTCACAAAGCACCTGACCTGCAGCCCCACCCTGGGACAAAGGCTGCGGAGAAGGTGAGGCAGGAGCTGCAAACCTGGGCCAGGGATGAGCTCAGGGAGATAAGAAAATCCTGTTTATGCTGAGCAGGGAATGAATGCCCTTATCTGCAGCACGGCTGGCAGGTGCGTGGCACTCAGGAGGAGCCCTGCAAGCCCTGGCTGGGCAGAAATTCTCAGCTATCTCCAGGCAGGAGGGAGCTGTGCTACCTTGTGCCTGGCACTCCTGGGAGAGGAGAATTGCATCAGGAACTTCTTGTACTTGGTTGAGTTTCAGCAGGATGAGGTGGTGGGGTTTTTTTCTTCATTCCCTAAAACAAGGAGAGCAGAACTTGATTATCTTTGGTCTTGGCAGCAGAACTGTGTTGCAATAATCCGAGAGCTGTTAATTCACCAGTGATTTTTTTATGTTGAAGACTCTTGTAATTAAAAAAATGCCATAAGGCAGGGCCCACATAATGTGGAATTTAGGGATTTATGTATTAGAAAGGGTTGAACAAACACTGGAAATCCTCTAGTTTGCATTTTTTGTCTGTAACAAACTATTACTTCACTCCAATATCATTTGAATAATTTTGTCATCAAGCTCATGTAACGGAGTGGAGAATGGGATCTCAAAGCTTCTGGAATACAGGAGATTGAGTTAGTTGCTAAACCTGTTTATGGAAGATAGAAATTATGTCATTATAATGCTGAGGTGTGCTAAAATAAAATCTTGAATTACAGCATGGCTCTTTCAGTTTGAATGTATGTTTTAAAATAATTGCTGTTGTGGAAAGAAAATGTCTGGGAGTCGGTCATTGTAGTGCACATATTTCAGAGTTATTAATCGTTAAATGTGACATTTTTATTGCACAGTGAGAACAAACGATGAACAAAACCCAAAGAAGCCAAGTATAGCTGAGGAATGATGTCCCAGTCCCGCAGAAATGAACACAAGTGTTTGTGCTTATGTACAATTGTGGTCCTGGTTTGCTGCTTAAGGGAGGCACAGATTCCTCATTCAGAGCAGGGAAAGTTTAATCCCAGTGCGTAAAATTAGGGCTGAATATCATCTTTGCATGTTTGGAGCTTGTGTTGGAGATGTGAGGACTGAACAATTTCCCTGCCAGTTCTGCTGTGTTAATCTCAGAACTATTGTAGTCTCTTGAAATCATTGTAGCAATGAGAATGTGAAGTAGATTAATAGTGGAATTTAGCCCTTTTTAAACGTTCCTTCAGGGTTTCTGTTTTTCTCTTGCAGACGCCCAGACAATACAGCCAAGCACTAAATGAAAGCAACAGAGTTCATCTTTACTGTGCATTCCTGGATTATAGGTACGTTGCATAATTCCACATTCTTTAGCTTGGTTTTATTTCACTACGCTTACTTTGTGATGCTGTGTATTTATATTTTTCTTGCTTCCTTTCACTCATGGAAATGGTTAAGGAAATGGAACCACTGGCTTACAAAAACCACAATCTGATTGTTTCTTATCACAGACAGGAGAGCTAGTGTTCCCAGCCCCTGGGTTGGGTGGTGATTGGGAGCTGGAAACGTTTTGTGAGCAAAGTCGCAGCCTGATACAAATCCTGCTTATCTTGTTTTGTGAGTGAGTCCTGGGCACCTGCTCGGATGCTCCAGGGTGGCCAAGCTCCAGCACAGCTCTGCTTTCGCTGGCCCTGTGCCACAGCAGCCTGTGAAATCGGTATTTCAGAGCTGGGAGTTCTGGCCAATGCGTGGAATGGATAACATCACGCAATGGCCCATCTTGAATGCAAATTAGAATTAAAGGGAAATAAATATCACCTTGAATTTCACTCAGAAAATAAGATCTATGGAAAAGCAGTAGCTTTTTATTCTTTATTTCTTTTTTTTTTAGCACTGAATAAATTTAATTTTTTTTCCTTTTGAAATACGCTGCTCTTAGTGATCTCATTGAGAAGGAATACAAATGGTGAATTTTTAATTTCATGGGGATTAACAGGTTTTGCGTGCAAGCCTAACTGATGCAGCAATGGTGTGGGATGCTGTGATCCCTCCTGAGCACCGTGCACTTGGGAAGGTCACAGTAATTGTTTCACTGAAGTTCTGCCCACCTGTGCTGAGCTGCCCCAGCTGTTGGCAGTTCCTCGTTGTTATGGTTACTCACAAATTGCGATAAATTAGAAGCAGGTTTTATGAAGCAAATGAACGTGGCTGGGGCATTGCTCTCCACTGGGGCTGGGGCCCTGGGGGCTTTGTGAGGATACAAACCCAGAAATGAAACCTGTCCTTGCAGATGAGCCAGGATGGGTTTATTCCCTGTGCACCATAGTTAATTTGGTTTCTGACCCACAGCAGAGTCTCTCTGAGAACTCAAAGAGGTCCTAAAGGGCAGGGGAATGAGGTAATACCTCTCTTTAAGAGGGGAGCACAGACCACTCAGTCAGTCTGCAGGACTCGGAGAAATACCAGAAGAGATAAATATTGCCTGTCAAACAGGGGGTGCGTGACCTGTGGTGCCTGATGGACCTTCTGGGTCCCCACCCTGCCCCAAGGCTGGCAGGGCACAGGGAATTCTGGCTCGTCCCAGGAAAAGCCAGCTCATGAGGATCACTGCTCAAAACCAAACAGCAAGGTGGTGGGGATCACTGCTCAAAACCAAACAGCAAGGTGGTGGGGATCACTGCTCAAAACCAAACAGCAAGGTGGTGAGGATCACTGCTCAAAACCAAACAGCAAGGTGGTGGGGATCACTGCTCAAAACCAAACAGCAAGGTGGTGAGGATCACTGCTCAAAACCAAGCAGCAAGGTGGTGAGGATCACTGCTCAAAAACAAGCAGCAAGGTGGTGAGGATCACTGCTCAAAAACAAGCAGCAAGGTGGTGAGGATCACTGCTCAAAAACAAGCAGCAGAGCGGTGAGGATGCTGAGAGCAGCCCCACAGCCTGCCCAGCCATTCCTGCAGCAGGAGCTGCCCCTTGGGTGCAGGGACACAACTGACCTGGAATTGGTGCTGTCAGCCTGAATTGCTGTGACAGCATGGCCGTGACACTGGGCAAGGGTCAGGCACCACAGAACACTCTGATTCTGGGGGTTTTGCAAGATATTGACTTGTCTGGTGCTGCAGTTCTCAGAACTGGGTCTGGGTGAAATGCCATAAATGAGATGCAAAATGTAATGTAAATGTAAAAGCAGTTATCATTCATTGATGATAAAACTGGGAACAGGTCTCTAGAGACGTTCATGGCGGGCTCTGATCTGTGCCTTGTCCTGTGAATATTTTCCTTTACTGTTTCCATGGTGTAACTGAGGGGACGCTCGCAGTGTTGGGGGGTCTGCAGCCTGAGACAGCTCCAGGCCTTTCCGTGTCCTGTGCAGCACGGAGCACGTGGAGCTCACCTCCAGCAGGTGCATTTGGGCAGGGATAACGTTTGGTTCCTGTGCCCCCAGCAATGGAAGCGGCGTCTGGTCCGACGAGGGCTGCGCGAGGCAGAGTGGGGACCTCAACTACTCCGTGTGCCTCTGCAACCACCTCACCAACTTCGCCATCCTGATGCAAGTGGTGCCGCTGCAGGTGAGGCTCAGCGGGGCAGGGACTCTGTCTGGTGGAAATGCGCCATAAACACATCGGTTACACCCTCTCATCACCCGAGTGACTGAAGCTGGGTGCACTTACACCCCGCTTGTATTTATTTCTTGTTTCTGTTGTGTTGTCCAGAGAGTTTAATTCACACCCCAGCCCTTTGTGCCTGTCTGTCCACTTGAAGGGGGGCTGGCTTCCTCAGGTCATCCTGTTTTTATCTAGCCATTATTATCTTTATTGCTTGTAAAGCACCTAATGGCCCCATCTGGTTTCCAAGTACAGTTTTTCTAGGAACTCTTCAGGCTGATAATAAAATGCAGCTTTGCCTCAAGACCTCCCATCTTGCAAGGCAGAAATGTCTTGGGGGAAATGTGCTATTATTAACCCTGTTTTAAGGAGCAGCATTCAGGGAATTAGCCAGGATTAAACAGGACAGCACCAATTAAATGTCACTGTAAGATTGGTTGGTTCTCCACTGGGAATAGTTCTGAAGGGCCCAGCTTTCAACTAAACAGATTTAGGATTGTGATGATTAATGGGATGCTGCCATAAGTTTTAGTATCATGTAATATTAGTAATTAGAGATCAAAGATATTTCATACAGAATTCTTTGGAATCACGTTTTCCTGAAGAGGTCTGAAACACATAACTGGGAAAGGCTGGATGTGAATGGACCTTCCAGTGCCTCACAGTCCTGTAACAGCTCCATTTTCAATAGTTTCTCTCTCCTTTAGTTTTTGGTCTGATGCATTTACACCCACCAGAATATTTTTCCACAGCTTTGTTTTCCCCTTTATGATAAAAGGAAAATCTCATCCCAAATCTTTGTGCAAGGCATTTCCTTCAAATGGACCATTTAGGGTTTTCTTGTGGTATAATTTTTTTAACTAGTGAAAAGAACTGTTACCTTCATTGTGTGATTGGCATGAAGATGAGAGCCAGGCAAGACAGAATTCTGCCTTTTGAGCAGCCACAAATTCCCAGAACGCCTGCTGAGTAAACCTTGCTGAACCAGCCTGACAATTGGAAGCTTCTCCCAGGTGTCCTTGGAACCCTCTTAAGCAAATGCTAAAATGCTGCGGGTTTTGAGCACATCCTTGTGTTTGCTCACCATGCTCAGGAATTCGTGAGCCAAGGTTCAAAGGGCCCCTTTAAATCTCCCCTTGGAACAAACGCTCCGAGACGTTGCTGCAGTGATGTTAGATCTGGTCTTGAACTTTTGTATATTTTAATCTTCTGCTCGTAAATGAAGTGCACAGATAATATGAAGCAAGTAAAGGAGGGTGGGAGTATGCAATTGCCACATTTGAACAGTTCTGTTTACACAGCTACAATGCATCTGTGGCCAGACAATTTGAAATGGATCACGGTTTTTTGTATGAACACTGTTTTTGACAGAATGTTTATTTTTCTCTAGACTCTGGAAAAAATTAGATTCTTACCCAAAAGGCTCTGCTTTTCATAAAAATTGGAAATAGGTTATTGGACATGAACTGCCTGAAAACTGTAGATTTTTTCATCAAAAGCTGTATTTTGGTACCAAAAAAAAGGGGGGAATTAACTTTTCATGGGAACTCTCTGGGTGTTTTACACTTCCGCTCTCCTGTGGAAAGTGCCATTCCCTTTCTCCCCAGGGTACAGATAAATCAGCTCCCAGGGGAGCAGAGATTTCCATGCAGCAAAACCAGGGGGCACAGTTCTGCCAGCCCTGGCAGAAACGCAGGCAGCTGCACAGAAAACAATTTAAAAAGCTAAAAAGGGGGATACTGACAGCTGTGTTCTCTTATTCCTTAGCGCTGCAGAACTGTTATTAATTTATGCTCCTACCTTGGGGAGGAATTACACTGTCCCACGTGGATTCCATTTGGTTCCACTGAGACATTCATAGGAATGAAACTGCAGGGCGCCCTGCATTTGCTGCTGCTGTCTCTTGAGCACTGGAAATGCCGAGATGAGGGGTCTGATGAACTGTCAGACATGTGTGGCACAGGCTGTCAGGCGGGTGTAATTTCTGGGGAGCACAGAAGTGCCAGAAAGTTCTTGAGAACAAGCTGTGAGTTCTCCATTTTCCTTCTTGATCTTTGCTCAGAACAGGTTAGGTTAATTCAGTCGCTGTTCTACTGTTTGCCAGCTGGAGGTAATCTCCAAAGGCTGAAATCTGCTGAGATGAAAAATCATTTTTATTCCAATATTCAGAGAAAGGAATTAAAGGGACTAGTCACAAAGGAAAGTATGAAATTCTGGGATATTAATTTAAACGTGACAAAATGAACCTTCACTGTGATGTCTGTGGGCTCTACGCCAGGATGGGGAGAGCTTTGAATGCTGTGAATTAGCTAAAACTGAGCTGGGATTACAAACGTGGCTGCACAGCACTCCGGATTTTGCGCTGGTTTCAGCAGGAGCCCTAAGGCGCTGCAGCCAGGGTGACTGTGGAAGAGGGACACACAGAATGCTGCCGCTGAGCTCAGCTCAGAGCCTTCAGAGGCGCGGGCATTAGCAGCTGTAACGAGTTTATTTTGGGTTGAATGACCACCTTGGAAACCCCCAGCCTTGTGGTGCTCAGCTGTGAGCCTGGCACTGCCTGGTGCCCTGCTGAGGGCTGGACTGTTTGTGTTTTATCACTCTGGGTTGTGTCTGTGTCAGCCTGGCCCGCATTCCTGCTTGCTGACATTGGTTTATCTTGCTGGTCCTCACCGGAGAACGATAACATTTATTTTGAATTCTGGAGATTAGTGGTCATCCACTGGCTTAAACAAATAAATGAGTTGATTGAAGGTAGGATGGGGCTGCAGATGAGCAGAATGTTCCTGAAGGAACGTGTTCAACCCTTGACTGCCTTTGAGAAGTGTCAGGGGTGTCATTAGGGTCAGCAGGAAATCAGGATGTGGGGACTGCAGGGAGCTCTTGGACAGTTCTGGCCAGGTCAGTGAGGCTGAGGATTGCTCAGTGCCACCTCCCAGCACACGCTGGCTCACAGGGGCTGGGCAGACATGAAGCTTCTCTTAAGCTTTTCCTCCTGATGGGGAACCTGAGGCAGGGGGGAGAGGTCCCTCTAGCAAACAGGTCATTGCTGCAGCTGCACTTTGGGAGTTCCTGTGCACAGAGCATGTTCCAGGCTCTCCTCCACCCAGCACAAACAGCTGGGCAGCACTGGAGCACTGGGCAGCTGCGGTGGGAGAAAGGAGGAACCCATTTGTCTGGATGTGTTTGTTCCCTGTGGGGATGGCCAGGAGGAGCAGAGGCAGGGCCAGCAGCTGCCTGAGGGTTTGCAGCAGTGTCCCCCTGGGTGGGACAGGGGACATGGGACATCCCCTTGGGCTGGGGGCCAGCTCTGTGCTGGGGGCTCCTAACAGGGGCAGTGTCAGGAGAGGCAGAGCATCAGCCCTGGCACACACACACAGACAGGAGCTCTCCTTCCTCGACAGCAGGAGCCCAGCCCAGCACAGAGCTGCCCCAGAAAGGGCTTCACAGAACGTTGAGATGCTGTTGCTGCACTTTGGGCAGCTTCGCTCCCCCCATCACTCAGGGGCCCTCTGCTCCTGCCAAGGAACATGCCAGCCATCTGGCAGGTTTGTTTCTGTAGTGATCCAGCAGCTCCGAAGCGTGCCAGGCTATTTGTACCATCTGCCACCAAAATGTCACTTCAGCTAAAGGATGGTGGGCACCTGGGGACCCAGGGTTCAAAAATCCTTTTAAAGAGCAATCATTTTCTCCCACAGGAAAATAGAGTTTGAACCTTGGGTCCCCCTCCCCCAGAACAGCAGTGCAGGACGCAGCTGAAATATTTATGTCTCCTAAACCATTCTCTAAATTGCTCTTTTTTCCTGCTTTTCCTCTTGCTGTCTTTTCCAACTGTGAGAATATAAAAACGGCTCCTATAAAGTTCACATGTGGATGGGCATTTCCCGCTAAGCAGGAGTGTTATACAATCTGTGGTAGAAATTGTTTGGGGTTTTGAACACGTTTTCTGCATTTCTAAAGCTAGAAATGACTTTGTTTTTATGCCATTTGTAGCCTGTTCGCAATTCAGAAGAGACAATCAATCAATACAGTTCAAGCAGCTCACCAATAGGCTTGTAAGCAGACAAGTGTTTATACAAGGGAAAATACTTAAAACTGTCTGATCTTGATGGTGGAGCTGTAGAAACAACCCTTAGCATTTTTAGGGAGCCCAGGATTGTGTTCATCTGTGAGCTTCTATTTACAAAAAGAAAACCATGCCCAATTTCTTTTCTTGTGGCAATATATGTGTTTTTATTTTAGCTTTCACTGTTATAGCTGAGTTTTGATAATGCATGGCTGACTGAGAAAAAGGTGCATCAATTCATGTTCATAAAGGCTGTTTTGAGAAAGTCCTGGTATTGCAAAATGCTTTAAAAATATGGGGGATAGATGGGTAATTTATCAGTTTGGAGCATTGTTTCCTAAATCTAATATTGCAGTTATTAATCAAACACTGCACTCTGTGTGCAATAAAATAGCAGTCTGAAACCATAAGCTTTCTTCTTAAAATTTTCAGCCAGCTCCACACTCAAATAGGACAATGAAATGGAAATAATGTGGCACTCTCTGATTTCTGCTGTTTTGTAATTTTTGTATAATTACTTTTCTCAGCATGCTTTTCATTGCTGGGAACATGAAAAGAATAATGCCTAAGTCCAGTAATTTTTCTTTGTGTTGCGTATTTAAAAATTGGATAGGCACTGTGAATTTTTTGGTCCTTGTTCATTACTGCTGACATTTTGTGTAACTGAAAAGATCTCCACAGACAGTTCAGACAGCCTCGGCCATCAGATGAACAAAGATAAACCAGCCTGGCTGTTTATTCCAGCGCTGCTTTGTAAACTTTCTTTGCTCTCTCTCACTCTCTCTGCTTGCCCCTCCATTTCATGGCAGGGATTGTTGTCCCTGTGCAGGAGCACATCTGGGTATTGTCCCTGGCTTTGGGTGTCAGATTCCTTTTGTCCTTAGGGCACCCGTGCTGTCTT